GCACTTCCGCATTCCCCGCATGCTTCCCCGCTGGAATGCTTTGCTGGAGTCTTCTTTATGGCCTCATAAATGCCAATTTTGATATACAAACATATACAGACATACACAGAGGCTATTTAATTTTTTCTGTTGCTTTAATTGTCCATCTGCGAAGCTGATGAAGCACTTCTGCATTCCCCGCATGCTTCCCTCCTGGAATGCTTTGCGGGAGTCTTCTTTATGGCCTCATAAATCAGTTAATTTAGCCTCCCCACACTTTTTAAGGTGGTACCTTATTTTCCTACTTGACAGATGCCATCTGCAATGCTGATGAAGCACTTCCGCATTCCCCGCATGCTTCTGAGTAAATAGGGAAATTGGGGTTGTTGTTGTTGTTCTTGTGGTCGTTCAAGTTCTTTTGGAGTTGGGAGGGCTGCGTCCAGCTCAAGGGCGGTATTTTGGGGGCCCTTGATCCGCACCGTGGAACCAATATCTTCTTCTTCTTCTCTTCCCGCACTGCAGGCGCTGGGCTGTGGCTGCGTGGCCCAGTCTGTCCTCAGCGGAGGGGCCCTGGGGGGACCGCACGTGGCCTCCTTCAGCTTTGCTCTGGCCGTCACCATCGCTGTCTACACCGCAGGAGGCGTCTCCGGTAAGTTCCCGCTCCCACAAAAACCTGGCCTGAGTCAACGTGGCCAAGGGACAAACCAAAGAAAGTAATGTGTAGAGGCCAAAGGGGCACTGTGCTGCCACGTGCTGGGTCTGTAATAATTGATTTTTTCAACAGGACGTGCTCTTTGTGCCCAGTGGGGAGCCGGGGTGCCTCGGGTGAGAGGCCTTCAAGGATTTTCCCATACACAGTCTTTAAAGGGCTTGAAATGTTTAACAAAGTCCTTTATTATTGCTTAGGTCTTCAACAAAACAACAAACACTTCTTGGATCTTCAACAGATTAAACAAATGCTTCTTAACTTGCCCCAAAATGGACAGGCACCTTGCTTGGAGAACTGTTTCTTTCTTTAACAAGGAAAACCCTTTTTTAACCCCTCGCAGGCAATTTACTGTCTAAGCTTTGCTGATGTGGGTTCTACTACCGGTTCCAATCTGCGTCTTGGATCCCGAGTAGACCTATTTTTATTTTAATTATTGACAGCTTTTCTATTCCGCCCTTCTCCTCACCCCATAGCAGGGGACTCAGGGCGGATTACAGTGTACACATATATGGCAAACATTCAATGCCAATTTTGACATACAACATATACAGACATACACAGAGGCTATTTTTAACTTTTTCTGGCCGCCAGGGGAGATGTCGCTTTCATCGTCCATCTGCGACACTGATGAAGCACTTCCGCATTCCCCGCATGCTTTTGCTGAAGTCTTTTTTTTTATGGCCTCATAAATTAGTTAATTTAGCCTCCCCACAGTTTAAGGTGGTACCTTATTTTCCTACTTGATAGATGCAACTGTCTTTCAGGTTGCAAAGGTCAACAATGGGCTACATAATTGCTTGGAAACCCACTCCAACCTGGGCTGGCTTCGAACTCATGACCTTTTGGTCAGAGTGATCTTAATGCACCGGGATTGTGGCGCAGCAGGCTGAGTGTCAGCTGCATTGAGATCCCTCAGTTGCAGCAGTTCTTATATGACACTGCCGGACTAGATTCCTTCCAGTCCGCCATGGGACAGAGACTGTGCTGGTCTCCATCACTCATCACCTTCGATGCCAGCTTGACCAGAGCGGGTCGGCGCTGCTTGTGTCATTGGACCTCACAACAGCATTGGACACAGTCGACCACCATCTTCTGTCCCACCGCCTTGCTGTTCCTGGAGTGAGTCAGGGGGAGAACTTTGAACTGGCTCCCCTCCTTCCTTCACAACCGTGGACAGCGAGTGGAGAGGGGAGGCCTGGTCTCTGAGAGGTCCCCCCCCCCTCTCTCTCTCTCTTGTGGGTTTCCTCCTCAGGGGGCCATTCTCTCCCTTCTGTTGTTTAACATCTCTATGCGACCACTTGCTCAGCTGGTCCGAGGTTTTGGGCTGGAGTGTGACCAGTACGCGGATGACACTCAGCTGGTGCTGAAGATGGATGGCCGACCGGACTCTGTACCTGATTGTTTCCCTCAGTGCCTCGAGGCCGTGACTGGATGGCTGCGTGACAGCAGGTTGAGGGTGAATCCAGCAAAGACAGAGATCCTATGGCTGGGTCAAGCGGGCAGTGGGGATGTCCAGCTGCCTACCCTAGATGGCGAGGCGCTATGCCCGTCCTTGTTGGTCAAGAGTCTGGGAGTCCTTTTGGACCCTCTCTTTCTGACGATGGAGGCCCAGGTCTCTCTCCGCCATAAGCAGAACCGCCTTTTTTCACCTGCAGCAGGCTAGACGGCTGGCCCCCTCCCTGTCCAGGGACGACCTGGCTATGGTGATCCAGGCCATGGTCATCTCAAGGCTGGACTACTGTAACACCCTCTACATTGGCCTTCCTCTGACGGTGATCCAGAAGCTCAAGTTGGTACAAAATGCAGCCGCTCGGCTTCTTGCGGGAATCCCGATGAGATGCCACATCACCCCAATCTTACCCATTGAGCCCCGGATCACTTTCAAAGGGATGGGACTCACCTTGAAGGCTTTGCATGGTCTGGGGCCGATGTACTTGAGGGACCGCCTCACCCCCTCCCAACCCCAGAGATCCCTCCGTTCTGAGGACCAAGATCTACTGGAAGTCCCCAGTGTCAAGACTTTGCGTCTAACAGCAACTCACATAGGAAGTAGTTGTGTTATGGTTAAGCCAAAGGTTGTGGTTAACTGGATGAGAGCTAACAAACTGAAATTGAATCCAGACAAGACAGAGATCCCTCCGTTCTGAGGACCAAGATCTACTGGAAATTCCCAGTGTCAAGACCTTGTGCCTAACAGCAACCAGACACAGAGCCTTCACAGCAGTGGCCCCATCACTCTGGAATACTCTGCCACCCGAAGTTCGTGCCTTGCAGGACTTATCAGCTTTCTGCAGGGCATGGAAGACATACCTGTTTCGACAGGCTTTTAATGTTTGATATTGTTGTTTTAAATTGTATTAGATTCTAGTTTGTTCTTGTAAGCCACTCCGAGCCTTAGGGGAGTGGCGGCATATAATTTTGAATAATTAATTAATTAATTAATTAAGTATGTACCCAGAGATAAGGATGCGCTCGCATGAATCCTCTCAAAGGGCCATTTTGGGACTTGATGAGGAGAGAAAAGGAGGGCGATGGGGAGGATGGGGATGCCAGGCATTCCAGGTAAGCATGTGCCTGTCTCGGGGAACGGACACGCATGTGGGGGACAATGGGGACGGTGGCCTTGGTCCTCTCCTGCCATTGCTAACGAAGGGCAGCAAGACACAGACTGGCTCTGTCAAAATACGAGATGAATAAGGCCTCAGTCTGCCCTTCATTCCAGACCCCAGCGCATACTTTCCCTGCAGCCCAGATTTGCAATTGCTGAAAGAGATGAAAATTGTGCTGCTTTGACTCAAAGGGAAGTGTGGAGCCACGCCGGTTTGGGGAGCCCCCTCTCAGTGGCCGTTACAGCCTTTCCGCCAGGGAGGAGACCCCCGGGTCCAGCCCTAATGGGGCCTCTTTTGCACATCAGACGGGCGATGATAACACCCTGACCCTGGGCGCAAACACAAAGAGGGGGCCTTGCCCTCCCGTCCAAAGACGGATGCCACTTGGCCGCAGGCTACGAGCAAGCGGAGGGCTTTCTCTCGCAGCAACGCCAGCAAAGGCATTTTCATAGAATCCTAGAATCAAAGAGTTGGAAGGGACCTTCTGGGCCATCCTCCAGTCCAACCCCATTCTGCCAAGAAGCAGGAATATTGCATTCACATCACCCCTGGCAGATGGCCACCCAGCCTCTGTTTCAAAGCCTCCAAAGAAGGAACTTCCACCAACACACTCCCTCCGGAGCAGAGAGTTACACTGCTGAACGGCTCTCACAGTCAGGAAGTTCTTAAAATCATAGAATCCTAGAGTTGGAAGAGACCTCCTGGGCCATCACCCAGTCCAACCCCATTCTGCCAAGGAGCAGGAATATTGCATTCCAATCACCCCTGGCAGATGGCCATCCAGCCTCTGTTTAAAAGCTTCCAAAGAAGGAGCCTCCACCAAGCTCCGGGGCAGAGAGTTCCACTGCTGAACGGCTCTCACAGTCAGGAAGTTCTTAAAATCCTAGATTCCTAGCGTTGGAAGAGACCTCCTGGGCCATCCTCCAGTCCAACCCCAATCTGCCAAGAAGCAGGAATATTGCATTCAAATCACCCCTGACAGATGGCCATCCAGCCTCTGTTTCAAAGCTTCCAAAGAAGGAGCCTCCACCACACTCCGGAGCAGAGAGTTCCACTGCTGAATGGCTCTCACAGTCAGGAAGTTCTTCCTCATGTTCAGATGGAATCTCCTCTCTTGTAGTTTGAAGCCATGGCTCCATTGCGTCCTAGTCTCCAGGGAAGCAGAAGGAAGCTTGCTCCCTCCTCCCTGTGGCTTCCTCTCACATATTTATTATACATGGCTATTATATCTCCTCTCAGCCTTCTCTTCTTCAGGCTAAACATGCCCAGCTCCTTAAGCCGCTCCTCATAGGGCTTGTTCTCCAGACCCTTGATCCTTTGAGTCGCCCTCTTCCTCTGGACACATTCCATCTTAGAGTCAATATCTCTCTTGAATTGTGGTGCCCAGAATTGGAGACAATATTCCAGGTAAAGTGGTCTAACCAAAGCGGAATAGAGCATGGGGAGCAGGACTTCCCTAGATGTAGACACTAGGCTCCTATAGTGTCTCTTAATCCACTTTGAGTCCCCTTCTGGGCAGGTAAAGCTGGGTATAAATAATAATAATAATAATAATAATAATAATAATAATAATAACAACGAGACTTATATGTTAGAACCATCTTGCTAAGGCCTACCTTGCGGCCTACCCAGCCTACCCAACACTGTGGCCTAGTCTACACCGCCGGCGCCGCTCGGTCCCCGGGCCTGGCGGGACAGACCGCTGCTGTCGACGCCGCTAGCCCCGTCTCCGCTGCCACCAGCCGCCGAGAGGTGAGGCCGGGAGCTGTCGCTGGGCCGCCGCCGGCAGCCGGGGAGAGAAGCCGAGGGCTGCTCGGCCAGACCGCCAGGCCGCCGCCAGATTGCTGCCGCTGCCGAGTCATCGCCGGCAGCCGGGGGGGGGAGGTTGTACGCGGCTGAACGCGGCTTAGCCGCCGCCGGACCACCGCCGCTGCCAAACCACCCCACTGCCGGCACCCGAGGGGAGAGGCCGAGTGCGGCCTGACCCCCCGCCGGACCGCTGCTGCCGCCGAATCATCGCCACCGCTGGCGGCTGGGGGGAGAGGCCCGGCGGCTGGGGGGAGAGGCCCGGCGTTGCCTGCCGCCGCCAGACCGCCGCCGCCGCCGGCCAGTGCCGCCGCCAGCAGCTGGAAGGAGGGACCAAGCGCTACCTGGCCACCGCCAGACCACCGCCGCGGCAGATCCACCGCCACCGCTGGCAGCCGGTTACAGGGGGAGAGGCCAGATTGCCGCCGCCGCCGAGTCATCACCAGCGCCGGCAGCCGGGGGGGGAGGCTGAACGCGGCTGAACGCGTCTCGGCCGCCGCCGAACCACTGCCGCTGCCGAACCAA